CGTGGAGTGATCTGACCCATAGCATCTCCAAGAGTTGGACATGATTAAATGGATAACATCGTCCTCCATTAAATAGCAACATAGTTCTCAGGACATACTTTGCAAGAGACACCACAGCACAGTCCCAGCCCTACACGAGCTCCTGACCCACGGGCTGTTTGGGTAGCCATGAATCAATGTCCCAAGGTCCCACTCAGCGAGGCCAACCCATGACTTCCCCTTGAAAAGTCTCTGCAGTTCCGCTGCCTCCCCCAGTCAGCTGACTTGGCTGAATAAGGTTAAATTTATTACAAAGCTCTTAGCGAAAATAACCCCTGCTTCTCCTTGCTAATAAAAGGGATAACAAATGTTCCCCCGGGGTGAAGGAAACAGCCTCCATGTTTTCCAGACAGGGCCTGCCCTCCACCCACTCACTCCCCCAAGTGAGACAGATTCCATTTACGTGACGGGAAATGGCTTTTAGCTTTGATTAAAAGAGAAATTTAATCAAATAGAGTGCAGTGATGACCAAGGGCCAAGATTCCGGTGCTGCTACTGCAGCATGGCGATAAAGCTGAGATGGCGTCTCCTCCACTCAGCCCCGCAAGATCCAAGAGGCCCTTTCCACCCAACGCTGCCATGATGTGCATCTCAAGTAGGAACGTGGCCTTCACCTCTCCTGCTCTTGGTGAGGTGCTCATGGCTTCAACTCAGGGATGCATTTTTTTTTTCGAAGCACCTCTGTCTGAAGTCCACCTGTCTACAGATAGTCCTCAAGTTACTTTTGTTTAGAATAGAATAGAAATAAGAATAGAATAGAATAGAATAGAATAGAATAGAATAGAACAGAATAGAACAGAATAAGAGTAGAGTAGAATAAGAGTAGAGTAGAATATAGTAGGATAGAGTAAATAGAATATAGTAGAATAGAATAGAATAGAATAGAATAGAATAGAATAGAATAGAATAGAATAGAACAGAATAGAATAAGAGTAGAGTAGAATATAGTAGGATAGAGTAAATAGAATATAATAGAATAGAATAGAATAGAATAGAATAGAATAGAATAGAATAGAATAACAGAGTTGGAAGGGACCTTGTAGGTCATCTAGTCCAACCCCCCCCACCACCACCACCACCACCCAAGCAGGAATCCCTACACCATTTCTGACAGGTGGCTGTCTTTTAAAAGGACATACTTGAAACTAAGTGAATTGTAGATAGACTATTTCAGATAATAACAATAATAATAATAATAGTAATAGTAATAAAGTTGGAAGGGACCTTGGAGGTCATCTAGTCCTGCTCAGGCAGGAAACCCTATACCGTTTCGGACCAATGGCCGTCCAGTCTCTTCTTAAAAACTTCCAGTATGGGAGCATTCACCACTTCTGGAGGCAGGTTGTTCCACTGCTTAATTGTTCTAACTATCAGGAAGTTTCTCCTCAGTTCCAGGTTGCTTCTCTCCTTGGTTAGTTTCCATCTGTTGCTTCTTGTCCTGCCTTCAGGTGCTTTGGAGAATAGCTTGACTCCCTCTTCTTTGGGGCAGCCCCTGAGATACTGGAAGAGTGCTATCATGTCCCCCCTCATCCTTCTCTTCATTAAACCAGACATACCCAATTCCAGCAGCCGTTCCTTATATGTTTTAGCCTCCAGTCCCCTGATCATCTTTGCTGCTCTTCTCTGAACTCTTTCTAGAGTCTCAACATCTTTTTTACATGGTGGTGACCAAAACTGGATACAGTGTAAGAATCATTTCAATCAATGCATTCATAGGACAGTCAGATTAATTCAGCCCTCACTAGAAAGAACCAGGGCTTGCTGGATCAGACCAAAGATCCATTGAGTCAAGGATCACCGTTTGGTGACCATTCTAAGTTACAATGACACTGGAAAAAAGGGAGTTATGACCGTTTTTCACCACTTGTTCGTATTTATGACAGTTGCGGCGTCCCGGGATCACGCGATCACTTCTTGTGACTTTCTGAGAAGAAAAGTCAAGGGGAAAAACCAGGCGTTACTAATTGGACCACTACTGTCATTCACTTCACAAAAGTGGCAAGAAAAGTCGTAAAACGGGGTCCCAAAGACGCTTTTTTCAGGAGGCAAGTGGACCTCCCTTCTTTTTCTTTGAAGACCTTTCGCTTCTCATCCAAGAAGCTTCTTCAGCTCTGATTGGATGGTGGGGAAGGGCAGGAGCCAGGACACTACTTATCCCAGACCAGCTGACGTCCCTTCCAGGCCACGACCTCGTGACAATTCCCATCGTCTCATCCCCGACCCAGTAACCCCTCTGTTGACTTTAGCTTTTCCAGGTTTAAAGTAGGGCGCCCTCTCTCATCCTGGTGTCCTGGAGGCATCTAAAATCAGTTAGGTATTGTCTCTTGTCAGCTTGGAGAGACATCAAGGGACTGGAGAGGGACCGGGAAGAGAAGCAGGAGAGGAGAAACATCTGCATAGCAGCAGAATCCAAGCTGGAGGGATTTCCTGACAGTCTGAACAATGAATCCATGGAACAGCTTGTCTCTGGGAGTTGTGGATGCTCCATCGCTGGAGGTTTTCAAGAAGAGATTGAAGAACCATTTGACCAGGATGGTGTAAGGAGGGGAGAAGGGGGGGCTGGACTAGAAGACCTCCAAGGTCCCTTCCAGATCTACGATCCTATGCAGGCCAGTTCACAAAGCCCTTCAACCCAGCCAGCACTTGAGGGAGACTCTTAAGCTTAAAGGAGGATATTTGTAATTCAGATTTGAAATGAAGGGGGGTCCTTGGCGTTAACTGAGCTTGGTTGTGTTCTTGCAGATGTTTCATGACCCAGGTAATACCATCAGTGCTGTGTTGCACACAGAGGATGTTACCTAGCTGGGGTCATGAAAGGTCCCCAAGAAAACAGTCACGCTCAGAGACCACCAACTCTTAGCTTTATATAAAGAGGTCCTTCCTTTCGTTGGGTCTTTCACCACCCTCTAGCATTAACAGGCTCCCCCACCAAGCCAGCCTCCTGAACTGGGAAAGAGGGGAGGAACTGGACCAAGTGATTTCTGTGTCAATTTTGTTGTTGTTAGTTGCGAAGTCGTGTCCCACCCATCACGACCCCCTGGACAGCGTTCCTCCAGGCCTTCCCGTCCTCTACCATCTTCTGGAGTCCATTTAAGCTCACGCCTCCTGCTTCAGGGACTCCATCCAGTCACCTCATTCTCTGTCGTCCCCTTGTTCTCTTGCCTTCCATCTTTCCAAGCATCAGGCTCTTCTCCAGTGAGTCCTTCCTTCTCATTGTTGTTATTAATTGCGAAGTCATGTCCGACCCATCGCGACCCCATGGACCACGTTCCTCCAGGTCTTCCTGTCCTCTATCATCTTCTGGAGTCCATTTAAGCTCACGCCTACTGCTTCAATGACTCCATGCAGCCACCTCATTCTCTGTCGTCCCCTTCTTCTATTGCCCTCCATCTTTCTCAGCATTAGGCTCTTCTCCAGGGAGTCCTTCTTTCTCCTTAGGTGGCCAAAGTCCTTGAGTTTCGACTTCAGGATCTGGCCTTCTAAAGAGCAGTCAGGGTTGATCTCCTCCAGGACTGACCGGTTTGATCTTCTTGCAGTCCAGGGGACTCGCAGGAGTCTTCTCCAGCACCACAGTTCAAAGGCCTCCATCCTTTGGCGCTCGGCCTTTCTTGTGGTCCAACTTTCACAGCCGTGCATTGCGACTGGGAAAACCCTGGCCTCGACTATGCACCTTTCCAGATTGCCCTGCTTTGACAAATCCAGACGTGCCTCGCCAGCAGGGCCAGTCCAGGCGCTCCAGACTCCAGGTGCAGCCTCGCACGCCTGCTGGTCCCCGGGGTGTGTGTGTGTGTGTGTGTGTGTGTGTGTGTGTGTGTGTGTGTGTGTGTGTGTGTGAGGATGGGGGGGGGCAGGCTGCTTGGAGGCAGCCATTGGCTCCGAGTCCTCCATGTGTTAAATTAGCCGAGAGAGGCGCAGCCGGGCCAGCCACCGTTTTGGAAAGGGGGAAGGGAGGGGGGGCTTCATTCTGCGTCATCGGAGCGGTGGGGGGGGGGAAGGAGGAGGGAAGCCAGCCCGCGTGGGGAGGGAGGGAGGAGGCGGAGGGGGAAAGAAGAAGCGCCCTCAACTTTCCAGCGGCGCCGATGGCAGCGAGACGCAGCTTTTCCCCAGCCGCGCAGGTTGCGCCTCGGGGCGCTCCGTCGTCGGAGCCAGCCGGACCGCAGGATCCCGACCAGCCGCCTTCCTCTGAACCGGCCCGAGAAGGCAAGGGCGGCGGGCTGCCAACCTCGCCCCGCCGGGCCGGTTGAGGGGCAGCCCCCCAACGCCTAGCCTCGCCGGCCGGCTAGCTGAGACGACCCCGGGGAGCGCGAAGCTGGTGGCGGCCGAGCAGGCGATCCAGAGGCGATCGCGCCTGAGCCGAGCGGGGCCAGAGGGAGAAGGGAGGCCCCGCGGCGACCCAGAGACCCCATCCAGAGCCGGGAAGCAAGCAAGCAAGGAAAAAAGCAAGCAAGGAAAGAAGGAAGGAAGAAAGGAAGGAAGGAAGGAAGGAAGGAAGGAGGGAGGGAGGAGGGAGGGAGGGAAGGAAGGAAGGAAGGAAGAAGGAAGGAAGGAAGGAAGGAAGGGAAGGAAGGGAAGGAAGGGAAGGAAGAAGGAGGGAAGGAAGGAAGGAAGGAAGGAAAGAAAGGGAAGGAAGGAAGGAAGGAAGGAAGGAAGGAAGGAAGGAAGGAAGGAAGGAAGGAAGGAAGGAAGGAAGGAAGCCAGGCGTCCCCTTCCCCGGCCCGACAGGAGCGCAATGGGGGCGCGCCCAAAGCGCAGCGGCGGGGCAAAAGAGGCGCAGCGAGCCGAGGCTTAGCAGGATAAGACCGCGCGCCTTCTCCGCAGTTCCGAGGAAGGCTGAGAGAAGTGCGGGCAGCCCGGGCTGGACGGCCGGGCAAGCGGGACCAAGAAGCTCGCTTCGGGAGTGCCAGGAAGAGGGATTGAAGGAGGAGGAGGAGGAGGAGGAGGAGGAGGAGGAGCTGGGGAAGCTGAGATAGCGCGCGGAGGAGGAGGAGGAGGAGGAGGAGGAAGGCTGCCAGACCCCCACGCCCGCCCTCCAGCCTCGCTCGCCCGGCTCCATGCCCCTCTAGCATCCCTGAGCCGGCAGTGACAGGAGGAAGGATGCAGGAGGCGGCCGGCGACTCGGTGGGTCCCCGCCGGGCGGTGGAGAAGCTGTCCGAGGCGGTGGGGCTGCGGGCCAAGGCTCTGGGCAGCGCCCTGCAGGAGACCCACCGCCAGCGGCGCCTCCTGCTGGTCATCGTCTGCGTGGCCCTGCTGCTGGACAACATGCTCTACATGGTCATCGTGCCCATCATCCCCCACTACTTGGCCAACATGCGCGGCAGCGGCGGCGGCGGCGTGGAGCAGACCCTGGAGGCCAACAGCAGCGGAGCAGCCGGGGGCTGGCCGGGCAACGCCACCACGACCACCGGGATGGTGCCACCCCCCCTGAAGGCCGACAACCAGGACATCAAGATCGGGGTGTTGTTTGCCTCCAAGGCCATCCTACAGCTGCTGGTCAACCCACTGACCGGCACCTTCATCGACCGGGTGGGCTACGTCTTGCCACTCCTGATCGGTCTGGTGATCATGTTCCTCTCCACGCTCATCTTCGCCTTCGCCGAGAACTATGGGACCCTCTTCGTGGCCCGCAGCCTGCAGGGGCTGGGCTCGGCCTTCGCAGACACCTCGGGGGTGGCCCTCATTGCCGACAAGTACACCGAGGAGTCAGAGCGCAACCGTGCCCTGGGTGTGGCGCTGGCCTTCATCTCCTTCGGCAGCCTGGTGGCACCCCCCTTTGGTGGCATCTTGTACCAGATTGCCAAGAAACAGACGCCCTTCCTGGTGCTGGCCTTCGTCTCCCTCTTGGACGCTCTGCTGCTGCTGGTGGCCATCAAGCCATTTGCCAACCAGACCCGGGAGAATATGCCAGTGGGCACGCCCATCCATCGGCTGATGATTGACCCTTACATTGCGGTGGTGGCCGGGGCCCTCACCACTTGCAACATCCCCTTGGCCTTCCTGGAGCCCACCATTGCCATCTGGATGAAGAGCACCATGAACGCCAACCAGTGGCAGATGGGTATGGCTTGGCTGCCGGCCTTCTTCCCCCACATCTTGGGCGTCTTCATCACCATCAAGTTGGCAGACAAGTATCCCCACCTGCAGTGGTTTTACGGGGCGTTGGGCATGGTCATCATTGGGGCCAGCTCGTGTGTGGTGCCTGCTTGCCGGAACTTTGGCCAACTGATGGTCCCCTTGTGTGGCATCTGCTTCGGCATTGCCCTGGTGGACACAGCCCTTCTGCCCACCCTTGCCTTCTTGGTAGACGTGCGCTATGTGTCAGTCTACGGCAGTGTCTATGCCATTGCCGACATCTCCTATTCAGTGGCCTATGCCCTGGGGCCCATTGTGGCTGGAGAGATTGTCCATTCCTTTGGCTTCACCCAACTCAGCTTGGGCATGGGCCTTGCCAATGTCCTCTATTCCCCAGTGCTGCTGGCCCTCAAAAACATTTGCCAGATGAAGCCCTCCCATTCAGAAAGTAACATCCTACTTGACGAGGAGCCCAAAGGACTCTATGACACCATCAAGATGGAAGAACGCAAAGCCAAGGGTAGACATCTCCACCCGGTGGGGGATTTTGAAGAGAATAGTGTAGTAGATCCTTACCGTAGAGACTTTAAAGGGGCTTTTGAGGATGATTCCTCAGACTATGACTATACTTAGAGTTTGGCTAGAAGGTCCTGTAGGAAGATGGACAGTGTCTCAGCTATTGTCTCCATATCTCCAATGTGCTACACATTAATCTTTCTCTGAATATGACAGTCTTCTTCTTCTTCTTCTCCTTCTTCTTCTTCTTCTTCTTCTTCTTCTTCTTCTTCTTCTTCTTCTTCTTCTTCTTCTTCTTCTTCTTCTTCTTCTTCTTCTCTTCCTTCTCCTTCTTCTCTTCTTCATCTTCTTTCTCCTCCTCCTCCTTCTTTTCTCTCTCTCTCTCTCTCTCTCTCTCTCTCTCTCTCTCTCTCTCTCTTTTCTTCTTCTCAAGTTAGGACTTAAACCATCCTACTGAGATTGAACCTGTCTATCCCAAATAGCCTATTTGCATAGATGTATTGGTCCTTTCTTGTTACAAGAAATGGGGTGCACCTCCCATGCTTTCTGCAGTTCTGCCAAAGGTTTGGGGGCAGGAGTGTTGTGTGTCACTTAAGACTGGTTCACACATGCATGTATGTATCCCTTAAAGCATCTGTTTGGTTGGCTCCATTTTTCTTTGTTTTTATACCCAGCTCCATCGGCACGCTTTATCTATACTTGATTAAAATATACTGAAGTGGGGAACCCACCGGGAGCACATGTCCCATCCCCCCCCAGGTCTGTTGTGCATGTGTGACATGATCTGAGTGTTCTGTCTGTGACATTAGATTTGGGGGTGTTCTCATTAGAGATACTGCAGTTATGCATGTGTGAACCAGCTTCACTTTTATCAGATGCTTCGAAAATACACATCCAGGGTCTCCGTAAATATTGTACATTTATAGATTCATGTTTTAATGGCAGCTGTGGAAATTATGTTGTGTTATTTTTCCTCCCAGAGGAGAAATAAAAAAACAACACGAAACAGTAACCTCTTTTTTATTTTATTTTACTCATTTTTTATTTTTTATTATTTATTTATTTATTTGTTTGTTTATATCATCTTGTGTTGCTATTCTGATCAATGAAATATGCTATACTATATTTTAGACTGAAACTATTACATTCATATAGGTGTGAATAAATAAGGTTCCAGGGAATATTTGTCTTGGTTTTATTGTGTGCACGTTAAGAGGAAGGGGGTCATCCTAAATACACAAAGAAAATATACAAATTAAAATCCAATCTGGATTTTATGAAATCATTCCTCTACTGCATACGCTGAGATTATTTTCGTGGAAAACTGCGTTAGATCAACTATTTTAATCTACTTGGATCCCTCTGTAATTTAACGCTTAAGTTAAAAAAAATCCATAACTTCCAGTTGCAAATAGCATGCAGGCAGATTCTTAGCACTTTTATTTCCATTCCTGTAGGGAAAAAAAATCAGCATTTTAGGATATCCAACTAGTTAATGAATTATTTTTCAAACAACAGATACAATCATTTAATCCTTCCCAATTTGGGGGGGGGAGAAAAGCAATAAAATGGGGACACACACATACCAATAAAAAGTAAGGATTTTTTTAAAAAAATCCACTGTCATTAATAAACAAATGCGAAGCATAAAGTCTGCCAGGTAATGTTTCCCAAGAAGTAAAATATTCTTACAAATATTTGGATTGAGTTGGCTCACCCTGGCTTACTTTTTAATTTGGATCGGAATGAGTCTCTCTTAAGACCAGCTCCGTTTTTTGGGATTTTCTGTTTATTTGTTTGCTGGTTTGTTTTAAACCACGATTAGTAGAAATTTTTCAAGAATTGTTTCTAACTAGTAGACCACTTGCCACACCCATTAGACAGATGCGGTTATTTGCCCCCAGTGTCAGCAGGAATGTATACAAACTAGATGTAGAATCCAGCTCTGTAATTTCATTTATTTCCCCAAAGTTTAGATGGCTACTTAATTGGGTGGAAGCCAATTAAGGGAAGGGAATAAAACTCTTTTGAACTTGGGCTTTAGCTACCTCCGAGTAACTTCGTGTAGAATTCTTGCTACACTGTGAGTATTTTACATTCCCTTTAGGCTCCCGCTGTGTGTTTCCTATGCTATTTGTGTAGGGTGATTGGCAGCTGGTTTCCACTGGGGATCAGTGAAAACGTAGCCTCCCCAGTCTATTTTCTTCCCAAAATCTCATCCTTCCAACGATGTGGTCAATTTCACTACGCGGTGTGTCAATTTCATTCTGCTTCCCAACGGCTGGGCGACAACAGCCTTGCCTGCTTTTTTAAACACTTTCGTCCCGAAAGTGAGCAGTGGCTACGTCTCCGATTCGCTGCCCGCTCTCTCGAGCAAGTTTGGGGGAAGCTCGATTTCTCTCCGCCCGAAAGCTGTGGATTATGGGGACTGTCATCCAAGCTTCCTGAAGTTCTCCATTGTTTTTTTTTTTTTTTTCCCGTCTCTGGCCGGAGGAAATGGATTCACGGACCGTTTCCAAACCGTTTCTGGTTTGGTTCGGTTTGTCCTTTTCCCCTTTTGATCTTCTCCGTTTCCCGGAGGGGAGAGAAGAGGAATCAGGACTCCCATGCGGCGCAGCGAGGGGGGAAGGCTTCAAGATGACCCATCTGCCTCTCCAACGCAGGACTGCGCAGGGCTGGCCGCCCCGCATTTCTGGATATTCTTTTCGCCCGCTTTAATCTCGTTTCCTTTTCCTTGGCTGCGTCTCCGCACAATCCTTCACGGAAGCCTCGGATTCTTGACCCGGGAACGAACTTGCACGTGTGAACGGGCGCCTAAGGCAGCCGTGCGTGATGGGGAAGAGGGAACGAAAGAGAAGAAACTTCATTCAAATTCACTCCGGTTCACTCCACAGACTAGGTTGGGCGACAGACTGGGTTCTTAACTGCCCGGAGTCGATTTGGTTTACAGCCCCCCCCCCCGCCCCGGCCAAGCCCAAGAAGCTGGAAAACTTGGCTTCCGATCCTAACTCTTCCTATCCCCCATTTCTCCAGCCTGCCTCCCTGTGAGACGAGCGGGTCTAACCCGATCTTACGGGCTGCACTTCGCTTCGCTTTGCTTTTTTTTTTAAAAAAAAAAAAAATCGACTTCGGCGTTAAATTCGAAGGCTGACCAGTTGCAACGGACCTGGAAAAGAAGGGGTGTTATTTCAGACAAGAGGTTTCTTCTGAATATTCCGCCTAAAAAAGGGAGGGAGGGAAGGAGGGAGAGAGGAAAAAAGAAAAGAGAGATGGAGGGAAGGAGAGAGGGATGGAAGACAGAAAGAAGGAAACGGGAGGGAGGGAGGGAGGGAGGGAGGGAGGAAGGAAGGAAGGAAGGAAGGAAGGAAGGAAGGAAGGAAGGAAGGAAGGAAGGAAGGAAGGAAGGAAGGAAAGCACCCCTCCCTGGCCCCACAGGAGAATGATGGAGTGAATGGAAGGAAGGAAAAAAGGAAGGAAGGAAGAAAAAAAAGGAAGGAAGGAAGGAAGGAAGGAAGGAAGGAAGGAAGGAAGGAAGGAAGGAAGGAAGGAAGGAAAGCACCCTTCCCTGGCCCCACAGGAGAATGATGGAATGAATGAAGGAAGGAAAAAAGGAAGGAAGGAAAAAGGAAGGAAGGAAGGAAGGAAGGAAGGAAGGAAGGAAGGAAGGCACCCCCTCCCTGGCTCCACAGGAGAATGAATGAAGGAAGGAAGGAAAAAAGGAAGGAAGGAAGGAAGGAAGGAAGGAAGGAAGGAAGGAAGGAAGGAAGGAAGGAAGGAGCATTAGGGAGAGACAAGAGAGAGAGAGAGAGTGGGGGAAAAGATGGAAGATGGATAAAAGGGAAGGAAAGAAACAGGAAAGAGGAAATAGCAGGGAAGAGAGACCTACGTTTATTCTTCATTGATTTAATTTTCCCTTTCAACCCACACCCTGTGAATATCCTCCCTTAGTCAGAAGGGCATCCCGTCCAAAGCTGCAAACAAAGAACCACGCCTGGAGGAGGACACCAGAACTCTCTTCCTGCAACTGGCCCAAGAGATCCAGAAGCCCAGATGATTTGGCAAAGGCCTTCCGCTCTCTTTCCTATTTCTCTTCCCTCGTTCTGATCTCATAAAATAGCAGCACTCTTCCTTATTTATGTAAGGGAGAGCAAGCAGATCCGGGTTGCACGAGTCCTGGCATCCAGAAGGGGGCAGCAAAGAAACACAGGCCCTGCTCCTTATGAGATGCTAGTTAGGGGGTCTCCTGCATGGTTGCAGACTGGTGGGCTCCCCCCTTAGGAAAGATGGAGAGATGGGTTGAAAGAATATGGGGGCAGAGGCAGGAATGACCTGCTGCCATGTTGAAACTGACTTGGACATTAGTCAGAGTATTTATTTCCTTATGGTTGTTGCTGTTGTTAATTGCAAAGTCTTGTCCGACCCATCGCGACCCCATGGACAATGTTCCTCCAGGTTTTCCTGTCTACCATCTTCTGGACAAGAGGCTTATTCATTCAACATCCAGGTCCTTGAAAAGGCCCACCTGGAAACCATGGTTTGCAAATTCAAGAATTATTTCTGCAGGAGCAGATAAAAGGAGGGAGACCCAAGCAACACAGTATTGAATAACTGGAGGTTGTATAAATATTTATAGAAGTATATACCGAGAAGGTTAGATAAATAGAAGTATTAATGTAAGAGAAAATTAATCTTATTGTATATAATACAGATAGGGAAATTTGGAGTTGCTGGGACATTACCCCTGAATTGTATCTGAAGAGGGATGAGAGGGAAGAAAGGAGAGGAGAGAGCAAAGAGTAAAGGAGGGGAGAAGGAAGTAGGAAGGTTGGAGGAGAAGAGGAGAAGTGGGGAGAAAGGGGAGGAGAGTGGTGAAGGAAAGAGGAGAGGAGAGGAAGAAGAGGGAAGTGGGGAAGAGAAGAAAGGGAGGAAGAAGGTAGAGAAGAAGGAGTGTGGATACAGTGAAAGGGGAAATGGGCGAGCAACACCAAAAGTCCCGTGTATGTATTTATTTCATTTTATTAAAAGTATCTTATATAGGAATGTAAAAAGAATGTATGTTAACATCTGGTAAATATCACGGTATATGTTTGGGGGAGAGTTTGGAAAAATAAAAAATTATTTTTTAAAAAAAGAATTATTTCTGTATGAGAAGAATCAGGAGCAGCATGGTAGCACTTTTGTAGACTATCAAACTTCCTCAGATCGTGACATCCCGATGCCTGGTGCAGGCTGCAGAGGTAAGTTCCCTCCCCCCATAAAGTAGGACCCATTTGGATTCCAGAGATCAAACAGCTTGAAGCATCACACCAAGTCAACAAAGATTCCCATATTCTTTTAACAGACGTTGTTCTGAATGCCCTATTACAACAGGGCCAAAGACTGACTGACTGACTGACTGACTGACTGACTGATTTACTTACTTACTTACTTACTTACTTCTTCCTTCTCTCCCTTCCTCCCTCCCTCCCAACACGTCACCTTTTCTTATTTCTTAAAATACCAGATCCCGGGATGGACTTGAAGCTTCAGTTGCTGCATTCACACAATCCCTTCCCCTAGGTCATTGATGAATCCAAAAGGTTGCGCAACCAGCTAAGCTTAGTTAGTTTGATCCTGGGTAAGGAGGGGAGTGGTGTTGTGGATAGATTTCTTTTCCCTTCTCTGTCCTCCCTCCCCCAGTGGTTCATTAGAGAACCCTGGACTATTTACAAGAGCGAATTTATTTATTATCCAACGTTACCCTGTTCATCTCACTTGATTGACTCCGAATAATGTTTGTTTTGAAAAGGAAGGCTGTTCCTGTGATGAAACACACACACACACACACACACACACACACACACACACAGAGAGAGAGAGAGAGAGAGAGAGAGAGAGAGAGAGAGAGACTGGCCCTTTCGCCTTTGTATCAAAGCAGGGTGTCAACTCCAAAGGTCTTTTCATTGAGGAATTAATCTACCTATCCCTCCTTATTAATTCAAAGAAGTTTTCAGAATGGCCAAAAAAAAATATGAAAGGAGAGGAGAGGAGAAGAGATGATAAGACAAGACAAGACAAGATGATGTAAGATATAAGATGTAAGATATAAGTTACAAGATACAAGACACAAGATACAAGATACAAGACACAAGATGCAAGATACAAGACACAAGATACAAGGTATAAGATATAAGATACAAGATATAAGAAAGTGGGGGGCTTTGGTTTCCCCCTCTTTTAAGAAAGGAGATCAAGTGTGGACTAGAAGTGTGTCTTTGGGGTGTGGGGAGGTGGGGTCAGCCCTTTCTGGATGGGGGGAGGGGAAAAGTCCACCCTATCATTGGTCTGGAAGAAGTTGACTTCCAACCCAAGGCACAATGAGCCTTCCATCAGCCAAGCGCTAATGGAGGCTGGCTGGAAGGGCCAATCCAGGCAATCCCATTCATGGTGGCCCCTCTCTTGACTGACCCAAGCAAGGGCTGTCAGAACACGAGGAGTGGGCGCACGCTCTAATTGGCACAGACCCACCAAAGGTTTTGAAATAGAGGTATAACACGGGGAAGCAGATGGAGGGAAAAGAGAGGGGACACGTTGAGTGTTCGTCTGAACGGGCCCTTCCAGCCTCTCCCGTGTCGGTTTCCACCCTCTCAAGCGACTTCACCTCTAACCTGGCGGGAGCCGTAGTCCACCCATGCCTCCGGAGGGCGCCATGTTGGAGACGGGCCACCCTGCAGCTCTCTCTCTCTATCTCTCTCTCTCTCTCGCTCTCTCTTATCTCTCTCTCTCTCTCTCTCTCTCTCTCTCTCTCATCTATCTATCTATCTATCTATCTCTTTCTCATGTCTCTCTCTTTCTCTCATCTCTCTTTCTCTCATCTCTCTCTCATTTATCTCTCTCTCTCTCATCTCTCTCTCATCTCTCTCTCTCTTATTTATCTCTCTCTCTCTCATTTATCTATCTATCTACCTATCTCTCTCTCTGTCTCTCTCATCTCTCTCTCTTTCTCTCATCTTTCTCTCTCTCATTTATCTCTTTCTCTCTCATCTCTCTCATCTCTCTCTCTCTCATCCATCTATCTATCTATCTATCTCTCATTTATCTCTCTTTCTCTCATCTCTTTCTCTCTCTCTCTCTCATTTCTCTCTCTCTCACACACACACACACATCTCTCTCTCTCTCTCTCTCTCTCTCTCTCTCTCTCTCTCTCTCTCTCTCTCTCTCTCTCTCTCTCTCTCTCTCCCCCGCACCACCCAAGGAGGCGCGGCACGTGTCAAGCTGCCACCCAGAGCCTCCCTTACCGCGGAGTAAATCCCAGGGTCGGGAGGAAGGACTATCTGTCTCCGAGGAAGCCCACGCCACGACTCGCCTCGCCGAGCAGGGGTCCGCTTCTCCAGGCTTCCTCCCCAGAGCCAAACGCTTGGAGAGCCGCGGAGCGCCTGGGGGTAGGGTAGGTGGGTGGGTGGGGGGCACTCCTGCCCGCTTTGGCCAACTTGTGCCCCCGGGAAGGGGGAAGAGCGATGCCCGGCCTGGGCGCCCCTCCTTTGCCTGGCACGACCGACCCCCCCTTTGCCCGCCCGGCTGGCCAAGAAGTTTGCGGAGTTGCGGAGACGCTGCGCTCTGGCGCGGTGAAGAGCCGGAGCGAGAAGGGGAGGCGGGCAGACGCCGCCCAGCGAGGGAAGCCCCTTCTCTGCCCTTGACCGGCTCTATCCCCTCGCCCTTCCCGGGCTGGGCAACAGGAAGGCGGAGAAGGGGAGCCCGGCACCCCAGGAGAAGGCAGGGCAGGAGCGCAGGAGGCACCATGGACAGCTCCGCGGAAGGCTTGAACGCTTGACCCGCTTCCCCGGCCGAAAGAGACCCTTCCCCACTCCGCCGGCTCCACGGGCGCCCCGCTTCCAGGTAAGGAAGGGAAACTGGGAAGAGCCGGTCTGCAAGCTGTCCCGCTTGCCGGCCAACACGCGTCCAGGAAAAAAAAAAAAAAAAAAGAACCGGCGGCTCCATTCGCACGACTCTCGAATCACGGGTTTTGGTGTCCCTTTGCTTAAAGGGCGCTTTGGGGTTGGGGCTGAGGGGATGCAACTCTGCGTGTTTGCGAGCATCCAGCCCGCTTGGATCCCTGAGGGGGGAGGGGTAAGCGTGCACTGGAGGACTCAGAACTCGAGTTCATTCGGTCGTGTGAACGGTAGCGAGCAACTTCCTGACAAGGGCGCGTTTGGAAAACATCACTAGGCTGTCTTTTCCTCTGTCGTTGGGGGGGGGGGGGAGAAAGAAAGAGGTACATTTCCAGTTATGGTTAGATGCACGCGTTTGGGTTAATTTGAAGGCATTTTGTGTTCACTTTGGTTTTTTTTTTCTGTTCTGGTTTGTGTAGCTATGCTTAATGGCTAGGAGAGAAGCCATTAATACCCAGGCTGTGGGTGAGGGCAGCCGGGCAAATCTTTTGTAGGGCAAGCCCCCCCACCTACTCAGAAGTTAGCCCCGTGCGTGCCAGTAGGGTTGCTCCTGACCTGTGCTTAAAACCTTCAGTCTTAACTCCATGTCTGAAACCCTGCTGAGTTTAAGGAGTAACCCTGCCTAGAAATTTCTGACCCAAAGCCTTCCATTGCTGGGGTCTGGGACAGTTGAAGGGTGCGATCCTCAAGGTTTGCACATCACAATATAAAAAAGAGGTTGAGACTCTGGAAAGAGCACAGAGAAGAGCAAGAAAGATGATGAAGGGGCTGGGGGCTAAAACATATCAAAAACTGGAACTGGGTATGTCTAGTTTAACAAAGAGAAGGACCAGGGGGGACAGGATAGCAGTATTCCAGTGTTTGAGGGGCTGCCCCAAAGAAGAGGGAGTCAAGCTCATCTCCAAAGCGCCTGTGGGCAGGACAAGAAGCAACGGATGGAAACCAATCAAGGAGAGAAGCAACCTGGAACGAAGGAGAAATTTCCCGACAGTGAGGACAATTAATCAGAGGTGATGCATAAGGTGGCAGGCAGTTGGCAAATTTGCCACCATGCATCTTTTTTTATAAAGAAAAAAAAAGTGTGCCCATCCACCAATGTCCAGCATTCCAGAATGTTCTTCGTTGCAGTTAGTTGATTTCCCAAGTAAGGGTCAACGTAAGTACGTAATGATTTATGTGCACCCCTCTGCTTTTGTCCTGTTTGCTCATTATCCCCATCCTTCCATCCACCTGTAATGCTGTTCCCATGGCAGGCATGCCCGTCACCTGTCCAATGTGGGGAGTGTTCACCTGCTGCGACTCAATTTCTTTCCGATTTCTTTCCATCAATCAACACTTGCATCTATCCCAGCGGAAACGCGCAGGCGGGCATTGCAAACCAGATGGCTGCCGAGAAAACCTCAGCAATCCTATCTCTCCATCACAACCTTGTTCCCTTTGTTTCTGCGGAGCTAAACAAGCCGCCTTCATTGACCGCAAACCATAGGATTGATTTAGGATTAGAAATTTCTAATCCCCTGGAGGAGGGCCTGGATGTTGGTGTGGAGCTTTGTTGCACGTGTGGGTTTTTTGTTTTTGTTTTTTGATACGTGGATAATATGATTTGTAGGGTGTTGTATAGTTTGGTTCTGTTTTATTTCCATTCACCACTTAGGGTTCCATGAGTGTGTGGGGGGGAGAGAAGGTGGGGGGAGGGAGAGTCAGACAGACAGATAAGTTAGGTAGGTAGGTAGGTAAATAAATAGAGACACAGACATGTAGGGATAGATAGATAGATAGATAGATAGATAGATAGATAGATAGATAGATAGATAGATAATAGTTAGATAGTGAGATAGCTAGGCAGATAGACAGACATAGATATAGATATAGATGATATAGATATAGATGATATAGATATAGATGGATGGATAGATAAAAAGATAGATAGAGATAGATAGATAGATAGATAGATAGATAGATAGATAGATAGACAGACAGACAGAGACAGAGACAGACAGACAGACAGACAGATAATAGCTAGATAGCTAGATAGACAGATAGATATAGCTATAGCTATAGATGTAGATAGATATAGATGTAGAGATACAGATAGATAGAGATACAGATACAGATACAGATAGAGAGATAGATGAATAATAGCTAGATAGTTAGACAGAGAGAGAGAGAGAGAGATAATAGCTAGACAGACAGACAGATAGAATAGCTATAGATATAGATGTAGAGATAGAGATACAGATAGAGATAGAGATATAGAGATACAGATAGATAGATAGATGAATAATAGCTAGATAGCTAGACAGAGATAGATAGATAGATAGATAGATAGATAGATAGATAGATAGATAGATAGATAGATGAATAATAGCTAGATAGCTAGATAGACAGACAGACACAGACAGACAGACGGATGGATGGACAAAAAGACAGACAGGTAGACAGACAGACAGTATTTTACTATTGCATCACTTCAAGATTTCAACATATAACCTCTAGGATAAGACCCTGATGACTTCAAGGCAGCCCTTCCGAGCCATTTCTTTTGAATGACTGTCAACTGCTTTTCAAAAGCTCCTTGCCCCCTTGTACCCAATCCCAGCCCTATTGGTGAACTCTCTCTTTCTTTCTTTCTTTCTTTCTTTCTTTCTTTCTTTCTTTCTTTCTTTCTTTCTTTCCTTCTTTTTTTTTCTTTCTTGGTTTATCTTGCTCCCAGTCCATGGGTGAGACTGGCTTAGATCGTCTGTAGCTGCATTTCATAAAGGAAAACTTATTCCCCTTATTCTTACCTGGTTGAAGTCTTTATCCCCTGTTTACCATGGGGGGAAAAAATCCCCAGGGACAAAGAGAGGTTGTGGAAGGACCAGGAGTGTGGCAATTTCATAGCTTGCTTACTGAAGGCTGGGTACAGAGCTTTCAGCCCAGCCATGGAAAGAGCTCCCGGGGTTACTGCTGCCTAATGCTTGCAATCAAGCTTTAAATTAACTCTTAGCCCTGGCTTAAGCCCTGCATTTGAGAAACAACAGGAAAGCCATCTTAAAAGCTTGCTATTTCCTGCTAAGGTTGGGGGGGGGGACATTCAGTTATGAAGGCCAGGCATTCTGTATATGCCCAAAGGAATCTCCCTTTTCAAACTATTGGTAGGCCTTAAAGCTAGGACTTAGCTGGATGAACGAACTGGATGCTTAGAGTTTCTAAAAGATCGCCAGGATGTGCAAACATCTACTTTTGCAATGCAGCTGGTGCTGCTTATTACTTTTTTTTTTTTTTTTACTTAAATTGCTCCATTGTTGCATATCCCATCACAATTGGAGAAAGAGGGGGGGGGGGGAGAAGAGGGAGAGAAAGAGAAAAAGGAGAGAAAAAGAGACAGAGACAGAAAGACACACAGAGAGAGAGAAATGAAAAAGAGATTAAAAACAGAGAGAGAAAGAGAGAGAAAGATGAAAAAGACAAAAAAGAGAGATGAAAAGACAAAAACACAGATAGAGAGAGAGGGAAAGAAAGTGTGAGAGAGAGAGAAGAAAAAGAGAAAAACAGAGATAGACAGACAGAGAGAAAGAGAGAAAGACAGAAAGAAAGATGAAAAAGAGAAAGAGAGATGAAAAGAGAGAAAAACAGAGACAGATGGAAAGAGAGAGAGGGAAAGAAAGCATGAGAGAGAGAGATGAAAAAGAGATAAAAACAGAGATAGACAGACAGAGAGAAAGAGAGAGAATGATGAAAAAGAGAAAAAGAGAGAGAGATGAAAAGAGAGAAAAACAGAGATGGACAGAGAGAGAAAGAGAGAGAATGGTAAAAAAGAGAAAAAGAGAGAGAGATGAAAAGAGAGAAAAACAGAGAGAGCGACAGAAAGAGAGAGGGAAAGTGTGAGAGAGAGATGAAAAAGAGATAAAAACAGAGATAGACAGAGAAAGAGAGAGAATGGTAAAAAAGAGGAAAAGAGAGAGAGATGAAAAGAGAGAAAAACAGAGAGAGAGACAGAGAGAGAGGGAAAGAAAGTGAGAGAAAGAGAGATGAAAAAGAGATAAAAACAGAGATGGACAGAGAGAGAAAGAGAGAGAATGGTAAAAAAGAGAAAAAGAGAGAAAGATGAAAAGAGAGAAAAACAGAGACAGAGAGACAGAAAGAGAGAGAGGGAAAGAAAGTGTGAGAGAGAGATGAAAAAGAGATAAAAACAAAGATAGATAGACAGAGAGAAAAAGAGAGAAAGATGAAAAGAGAGAAAAACAGAGACAGACAGGAAGAGAAAGAGAGGGAAAGAAAGTGTGAGAGAGATGAAAAGAGAGAAAAACAGAGAGAGAGAGTGAGAGAAAGAGAGAGAGAGAGAGAAAGAGAGAGAGAAAAAAAAAACAATAATATTTGGGGGATTTGCCATTGAAACTGCTCTTTTCAAAATGTGTTTCCTGACTCTAGTGTGCAACAGGAGCAAAAGACCAGCCAGCAAGTCTCAAGTCTCGTAAGATTGTGGCTGGTTAACAGCCCCCTCCAAAATCCTTGCCCCCCCCCCAATGCAGGAACTTTGCTCCATTCTCCCGTCAAACATTTGGCTTCCATCAGATTTGTGTGAAAGTGCAGCCCTGAGACGCTCCCTCTAGCATAATGTGGCAACAGATGGTAGGGCGCCAGGCTCCATGTGGCCAAGAGCAGAGGAATTCAGGTGCAAGCAAAGGCCACCGCCAGGGAACAACACCGCGCAACAGAAGACCTAGGAAGTTAACCTAGGTTTTATGTTTATGCGCTTGTGGGTTTATTCCTCCCCAAATCCCCCCCTCTCTCTTTGGTTCAGGATGAATTAGAGATCCTCCACCAGGATTCCCCTTCTTCTTCTTCTTCTTCTTCTTCTTCTTCTTCTTCTTCTTCTTCTTCTTCTTCTTCTTCTTCTTATTCTTCTTCTTCTTCTTCTTCTTCTTCTTCTTATTCTTATTCTTCTTCTTCTTCTTCTTCTTC